TCAGATTTATATACTTGTTGTACATAAATTTCAGATTGTGTTATTTTGCAAATTCTTATAGTTTTAACTTATTACTTGCTCAACAAAACTTGCTTTGTGCAAAATCTGAACCCTTATGGTCCTTTGATATACAAGCTTATATATTCCTTTGTAATATTATATATTGTGTAAGTCTTGCGGAGTACTATTTGTACCCATGTTGCTATTTTTAGGTAAGGATACCGGTGACTTTGATGTGTCCTACTACTATCCAGCCAAGGGTGGCGAGGGTAGTGAGTAGCTGAGTTGGTTGCCTTGTGGGCTATTGGCTGACCATGGGTTGAGACTTCTGCCACTATATTTGTGATGTATGAAGGGCTTATGAACCCTATTGTGTAATATTTACCTTGTTGTGTGTTTAATTTTATTAAATACTTGTTATGCTATCAATTGCTTGCAGACGAAAGTGCCAGGCTAGTCGCTTTTTCCTGGGAACTAGCTAAGCATGAGTAAGTGTTTTGAGTAATTGAGATGATCGTGGAATATAGCGTTTGAATAAGTCCTTTGAGATATATAACACATTTGGTCGCCACCTTCGAATGGTTTGATGGGGCATATCTTTGGTCGAAATCAACTAACAAGCTATTCCATCGAATATCTCTCTTACTCACTACTCGATATCGTGGTTAATATATTGAAAGGTGTCAACTACGATCATGGATACACTGAGGATGAGTGACTATTTATGCGAGTATGGATCCCACTAATCCAAATGCGTGTGGTGGTCACGTTGGACACTAGACTGAGAGAAGTTGATTTGCTCTCTCTCTCTCTCTCTCTGAAAAGAAACATTGACATATATGTTTCTTTTTTTTAGTTTCTGGCCTAACATTGGAAGGAGTCTTTCTTGGAAGCAAATAAGTTTATGATAAAAAAATATTTATCATCTTTTTTCCTTAAATCCTTCCATATGTAAACTTGATTTAGCATCTATATCTCTCATACATCATTACTCACTTTTCATCAAATTGTGGAGCAAAACTATCTTTGGAAGCATTTATCCTATATCACTTTCTTTTCTCCATAAATGTTGCAAAATGGTTGATTCCGTCGCTCTCACACACAAATAGTTGTTTTTCAATAGTTCTTGTAGTCTAACTTTGGGAGTTACTCCATTGGCAGTTGGCACACTGTTTCTGCAAATTTTGGGCATGGGAAATCTTTTTAAAGGTTTGCTTTTAATGGAGAAACTGATCATCCCCCCTCCCCCCTCTCTTTCTGCCTTTTATGTCGCCCTATATATAAGGGTACCAATTAATTCCAACTTTTTTATTTTATGTAGTTGCAATTTTGTTTTAGTACTGAAGTGCAATTAGGTTTATAAATTTTTATCTATAAGAAATTTTATTGGCCCTATATTTCACACTTTTCCCCATAAATTATGAAAAGGGTCATTTGGCCTATATCGGTTTCATATATGTTCACTTATCATACAAGTTGGCAATAAGAGAAATTTCATGATCTTTACTTAATGATACCATATTTTTTAACATAAAATTTGGTATCTCTGTTCTTGAAGTGTTGATAGACACCATTTTTACACCAAAAATGTTACCTACGCATGGATCATATATAAAATCACTCTTGGAAGAATGTTTTCTTTGAAGCATTGTTTTTTTTAAAAAAAAAGATATGTGATTTGTCCTACATCACAATAAGGGAGATTTGATAGAAGGAAATAAAATAGACGCCCCTAATTAAATGAGTTATGGTTGGGACTGAGAGGTGTTTGGAGGGAAAAATAGCGCTACTCTATTTTTTTAGACAAATTTAAATAGTATTAGGGACTGAGGGAGTAGTTTACTTGCTCCCTCTGAAAAAAACACATATGTTTCTCATTTTTTAAGTTTCTGGATCAACTTTGGAAGGAGGCTTTCTTTGGGTGCAAATAAGTTTATTGATAAAAAAATATTTATCCTATACTGCTTACTTTTTTCTATAAATCCTTCCATACATAAAGTAGATTTAGCATCTATCTGTTTCATACGTTACTCACTTCAGTTCCATCAAATTGTGGAGCTAAATTATCTTTGGAAGCATTTATCCTATATCACTTTCTTTTCTCCATATATCTTGCAAAATGGTTGGATTTATTTTTCTCTCTCACACACAGACAGTTACTTTTCCAATAATTATAATAGTCTAACTTTGGAAGTTAGTATCTTTAGCAGCACTTTACTTCATTGGCACACTTACTGTTTCCATAAATTTTGGGCATGGGAGATCTTTTCAAAGGTTTACTTTTAATGGAGAAACTGATCACTTACCCACTTTTTCTCCCTTCCATGTCGTTTTATGTAGTAGCCCATTTTACAGATTTGAAATTTATATAGTCACAATTTAGTTTTAGTACTGATGTGCAATAAGGTTTATAACTTTTTGTCTATAAGAAATTTTGCTCGTCTATATTTCACTCTTTTCTTCATAAATCATGAAAAAGGTCATTTGGCATATATCTCTTTCATACATGTTCACTTTTCATACAAGTTTGCAATACGAGAAATTTTACGATCTTTACTTAGAGGTGGCATATTTTCTAACGTAAAGTTTGGTACCTTTGTACTTGAGGTTCTGACAGACACCATTTTTACACTAAAAATGGTACTTACTCATGGATCATTATATAAAGAGTGAAGTATATTAGCGGTCTCTAAACTTCTGCCGGTGTATCATCTAGGTCCCCGAACTTCTAAAATACATTTTTAGGTCCCTGAACTTGCCATGTGCGTTATATAGGTCCAAACGGATTCTAACCCACTCGATGCGCTGACGTGGCAATGCCACAGTGACACCTACGTGTTAGTGGAATCCACATGTCAAGCATATATACAAAATAAAATTAAAAACCATATTTTCTCCTATTAGGTAGACAGAAAAAATATAAAAATTCTAAGGTAGAGAGGAGAAAATATGTTTTTCTACTTATATTTTTTTCTATGTGGCTGACACGTGTGTCCAACTAACACGTATGAACTATCATGGCATGCCACATCAGCGCATGGAAGGGGTTGGAGCTCGTTTGGACTCATATGACACTCCAAAACAAGTTCGAGAATCCGAAAATGCATTTTGAGAGTTTCGGGATCTAGATGACACACCCACATAAGTTTAAGGACCGCTCGTGCACTTCACTCTTATATAAAATCACTCTTGGAAGAATTTTTTTTAAGCATTGTTTTTTTACAGAAGATATATGATTTCTCCTACATCACAATAAGGGAGATGGAGGGTAAGAAAACAAAATAGATGCCCCTTAAATGAGTTATGGTTGAGAGTGAAAGTTGGTTGGAGGGAAAAATAGTACTGCTCTCTTTTTTGGACAAATTTGAATAGTAGAAGTGCACTTATCAGGGACGGAGGGAGTAGTTGACTTCGCTCTCTCTCAATCCCTCTAAAAAAACCACACACAAGTTCTCTCTTTTTTTAAGTAAACTAGAAAAATGCCCGTGCGTTGCAACGGGTGAAGGCTATTTTAATCATATTATTGTTATATGGTTTAGGTAAGGTGAAATTCACTATGTCAACTCGCTTGGATGTATTATTTTTTAAAATCATGAGCTGCGATTAGGAGTCTGATAGTCTCAAATTAACATGCGTGTTTTTTTAAAGAGATTTCTTATACGACTCTTTCTGTATTTCCAAAAACGAATGAACTTAAGAATCAACTCAAATACAGACATGTATTTCAAAAAGCGAATGAACTTAAAAACCAACTTATACACGGATGACGTACCAAAGTACTAGCAAAAACATATTTGATTTTTTATAATAGCAGAGAGTAGAGATATAATCTAGTTAAGGTAAAATTCATTGTGAGAATTCGCTTGGATATATAGTTTTCTAGAAAATCATGAGTTGCAATTAGGAGTCCGATCATCTCAAGTTAGCATGCGAGTTTTTTTTAAAAAAGAGATTTCTTATATGACTCCTTCTGTATTTCCAAAAAGGAACGAACTTAAAACCTGACTCAAATACAGATATGTATTTTCAAAAGCAAACGAACTTAAAAACTGACTCATACGCAGATGACGTACCAAAGTACTGGCAAAAACATCTTCAATTTTTATAATAGTAAAGATTTCACAAAACTACATATACTTTGACCAAATTATCACAAAACTACACATTTAGAGTGATATATCACAAAACTACAAATTTAACACTAAATTTCACATAGAACTACAGATTTAAGGTAGAGTATCGTAAAACTATAGATTTAGCAATAAAATTATCACAAAACTACAGGTTCAGTGATAATTTAATCATAAAACTTACACGTGTATAACTCAAACATAACACTAGTGCTAAGGATTTAAACTCTAAAATATGTAGTTTTGTGATAACTTTGTTATTAAATCTGTAGTTTTGCGATACTCCACCTTAACTCTATAGTTTTGTGATAAATTTAGTGCTAAATATGTAGTTTTGTGATACATCACTATAAATTGTGATAATTTGATCAAAGTATATATAGTTTTGTGAAATTTACTATATTTTTTTTTCAGTTTCTGGACTAACTTTGGAAGGAGGCTTTCTTTGGGAGCAAATAAGTTTATTGATAGAAATAAATTTACCCTATACTTCTTACTTTTTTCCTTAAATCCTTCCATACATAAAGTAGATTTAGCATCTATCTCTTTCATGCGTTACACACTTTTCATCAAATTGTGGAGCGAAATTATCTTTGGAAGTATTTGTCCTATATCTCTTTTCTCTCCATAAATCTTGCAAAACGGTTGGATTTATTTTTATCTCTCTCGCACACAGATAGACTTTTCAATAATTCTAGTAGTCTAACTTTGGAAGTTAAGCATCTTTAGCAGCACTTAACTTCATTAGCACACTTACTGTTTCCATAAATTTTGGGCATGTGAGATCTTTTCAAAAGTTTACTTTTAATGAAGAAACTGATCACTTCCCCACTTTTCCTGTCTTTCATGTCGTCCTATATAAAGGCACAACTTAAGCTGTCATCTATCACCAATTCATAGCTTCCAACATTTTCATTTCATTCGTAATCAGGTTTTCCACAGGGAGATGGCAATGAAGGTGTATGGGCTGCCAATGTCGACCAATGTAGCCCGCGTACTGGTGTGTTTGGAGGAAGCTGGGGAACAATATGAAGTTGTTCCGATTGATTTCTCAATTGCTGAGCACAAGAGCCCAGAGCATACTTCACGTAATGTAAGTTATTCTTACAACTTGTTCTCTCCATTTTTTTTCCATCAATTTTCATGGACAAAATAACTTCCATTTGTCTGAACTTTTGGATCAATCGACTATGTTGATTTTTCATGATTCCATTCTCTCTTTTTCCCCCTCATACAGCCATTTGGTCAAGTCCCAGCTCTTCAGGATGGTGATTTAATTCTTTTTGGTGAGATTTTTTTTTCTTCCCACCATGCAAAGTCTTTTTTTTCGGAGATGTTTTTTTTTCGCGAGGGAATGTTTTATTTCTTGCATTTACCAAAATAGTTATGAAAAAAATTAATAAGATAGATCAATTTATGATATCGCATATGTATCTATCATCTTATCAAAATATTTTTTAAAAAAATATTCATAACTATTAGATAACAATGCAAAGAAAGAAGACATTCCCTCGAGGGGAAAAAATGCTTTCACTACTTTTTTTTCGTTCTTGATTATTTTTAATCCATACAATTTTACACTGTTTCAACAGAGTCACGTGCAATTTCGAAGTACGTGCTTCGTAAGAACAACTCTGAACTCCTGAAGGAGCACAACCTTTCTGACGCTGCCAAGGTTGATGTGTGGCTGGAAGCTGAGTCACACCATTTCGATGAGCCCATGTCCGTGGTCATCTACCAATGCCTCATCCTCCCTGTGTATTTCGGTGGACAAACCGATGCGAAGGTTGTGGAAGAGAATCTGGAGAAGCTCAAGAAGACATTTCAGGTGTATGAAGAGCGTCTGTGCAAGTTCAGGTACTTAGCTGGAGACTTCCTGAGCCTTGCGGATCTGAGCCATTTCCCAACTGCGTACTACCTGCTGGCCACCCCTCATGCTGCTATGCTCGATGAGTTCCCTCTTGTGAAGGCTTGGATCGATGGCATGTTGGCCAGGCCGTCTGTCAAGAAGGTCATAGAGATGATGAAGGCAACTGCCTAGAAAAAAAATAAATCGTGTTGCTTGTTGTGATGATCCTTGTGATCTCTCTAAAATGATGTTGTCTGAGAGGAAGTGATTGAATAAAAACATGGAGCAGGAATTATGTTTGGGCGGTTTGCTTCATAAGTACATGAATGTGTTGCTTTGTGAATCGAAACTCCATGGATTTAAGCTAAATAATTAGTTTAACAACTCAATTCCCCAATTCTAACATTCCCAGTGAATATGATGGCTGTTCGAAGGAGCATCTATTAATTGCACTTGTTTGGATGTTAAAAAAAAACTATTTTAGCAATCATACTATCTTGCCGTACTAAAGATTTATCTCCGCAATGATTTGTTTTCAATGGCGCTAGACCTAGTATTACCGTTGTTTTACAAGTGGTGGCATATGAGAGCAATCTTTGGTGTGCAGTCGGTGTCAAAGCGCTCCATGAACTTCTATTTAGGTCAGTTGGCTCAGCTGCTGACTTGCTGTGTTTTCTTGCACGGGTACTATATAAACAGGATAGCTTCGATTCTCGATGTACCTATATGGCACAATAAACCATGTGGCTTCATCTATTCTTTACCAAATCTTGTTTTATCATGGATGCTATCAAATTTAATACAATTGATAACCTTTTTACTTGCTGTCCAGTGGATCTTGGTGTGTGCTCGCTGTGTCCTTCCTCTGACATGAACAGAGCTGGTCTTATATGTAAATTGCATCAGACATACCTTTACCCTGTATCTCAAATTGCATCATGATGTTCATCACAGCAGCAGGATCCCAAATTGCATAAGACTTGTCTTTGACTCGGTGTAAATTCAACTTCTCTGCATTGTCTCAATTTGTACCCAAAAGCTTTTGTTCTATCTTCAGTGAGTCAAATTGCCTGTTCTTTCTGGTTAATGGATGAATGAATTAACCGGCACGATTCTTGAACTCCTAACCAGTACTATTTTTTGAGAAAAACTTTCTATATACGAATTTCTTATAATACTGTTTTAAATCCAATTTTCTACTTTATAGATTCATTTGTACCATCAAATAATTATCCCAAATCATTCATCTATTCAGCCATTCATTACAAAATAATTCATATAATTATCACAAAAGAACACACAAGCTCTTCATATTTTTCAGTCTTTGTGAACCGTTCTCATCCAAAACGCCTGCATATTATTCCCACCTTTGCAATGGGGTGTTTTGAGTTGACAAAGGATTTGTGCGATCAGATTAGCAAGATGATAGCGAAGTACTGGTGGAGCAACCAGGAGAAGGACAATAAGATGCATTGGTTAAGTTGGAATAAATTGACATTGCCAAAAAATATGGGGGGCTTAGGTTTCAGGGACATTTACATCTTCAACCTAGCGATGCTAGCCAAGCAAGGATGGAGATTGATTCAGGACCCTGACTCTCTGTGCTCAAGGGTTCTTAGAGCTAAATACTTCCCTCTGGGGGACTGTTTCCGGCCAAAGCAGACATCAAATGTTTCCTATACTTGGAGAAGCATACAGAAGGGTCTCAGAGTGTTGCAAAATGGGATGATATGGAGGATGGGAGATGGATCGAAGATTAACATCTGGGCGGATCCCTGGATCCCGAGGGGATGGTCAAGGAAACCTATGACACCCAGAGGCGCTAACCTTGTGACAAAAGTGGAGGAACTGATTGACCCTTATACTGGAACTTGGGATGAAGATTTGCTGTCACAAACTTTTTGGGAAGAGGACGTCGCAGCTATTAAATCCATTCCTGTGCATGTTGAAATGGAGGATGTTTTGGCGTGGCACTTTGATGCGAGAGGATGCTTCACGGTCAAATCAGCTTACAAGGTGCAAAGGGAGATGGAGAGAAGAGCTAGCAGAAACGGATGCCCTGGGGTCTCAAATTGGGAGAGTGGGGATGATGATTTTTGGAAGAAGCTCTGGAAACTGGGTGTTCCAGGAAAGATCAAACACTTCTTGTGGAGAATGTGCCACAACACGCTGGCGTTGCGTGCTAACCTGCAGCATCGAGGTATGGATGTCGATACTAGATGTGTGATGTGTGGCCGGTATAATGAAGATGCTGGACATCTTTTCTTTAAGTGCAAGCCAGTGAAGAAAGTTTGGCAAGCTTTAAACCTAGAAGAGTTGAGATCCATGCTAGAGCAGCAAACGTCAGGAAAGAATGTGTTACAATCAATTTACTGTCGCCCGGAAATTGAACGAACAAGTGCCATAGTTTGCCTTTGGCAGTGGTGGAAAGAGAGGAATGAAGTAAGAGAAGGAGGAATACCAAGGAGCCCAGCTGAGCTCTCACACCTGATTATGTCACAGGCAGGAGAGTTTGTTAGGATGAATGTAAAGGAAAAAAGCCCCAGAACAGGAGAGTGTGCAGTTTGGAGACGGCCACCCCTGAACTTTGTGAAAATCAACACCGACGGAGCATACAGTAGTAACATGAAGCAGGGAGGATGGGGTTTTGTGATCAGGGATCAGACTGGCGCAGTCCTTCAGGCAGGAGCTGGTCCGGCAGCTTATCTACAAGACGCCTTCCATGCTGAAGTTGTTGCCTGTGCTGCTGCAATCAAGACTGCGAGTGAAAGGGGTATGTCCAGAATTGAGCTAGAAACAGACTCAATGATGCTTCGGTATGCGATTCAGGATAATTCCTTTAACCTTTCATCCTTAGGAGGAGTGATTCTTGAGATTAAACATATAATTTTGAGCTGTTTTCATTCCTTCTCTGTTAGCTACTCGCCCCGGAGTTGTAATAAGGTGGCACATGAGCTTGCCGCGTATGGTTGTAATCTCCAGACCGTGTCTTCCTGGGCAGGCTGCCCGCCTGGTCTGGAACGGCTGGTATCCAGCGATTCTGCTGGTTTGGTAATATAAATCTCTCGGTTTCCCTCAAAAAAAAACGCCTGCATATTTCATTCCTCACTTTTCAGAGAAGCCACAACCACAAACCAGCAGCGTGAATAATGTTTATTACGGAGTAATCACTATTTCCATCAGCTGACAACTTTCGATACTGAATTACTGATACTCGTTCAGTCTCCTGCATACACATTACAGATAAGTACTGTAGTATTTTTGCATCTATGTCATTTCTCAATTACTCCTAGTGCCCTCCATTGCTGAGCGGTGGAACCTTTTTTTTTTTTTTAGAGAACTCTGAGCGGCCAATCTATCCATCGTTGTCCTCTGCGCCAGATTTGGGTGCCACTCGACTTTTGGGTGGTGGATCTATCACGAACAGTAGTAACCTTCTGATTTGCCTTCCTTGAACCTCTGCCAGCTTCAACTTAATTATTTGTTTCTTTCCAAACCAGCCTCCCTATAGATCAGTAGCTGCAATAAAATTGTAAACATTAGCCATGTGAAAAGTATATCAGAAAATTTATCTTCATATGTAGCTTCATAATATTGTATAAATTTACAATATCCACCAACATAAAATTGTAGAAATTAATCAAAATTACTGGTACCAGGATGGCATGTATGTGTAAACAGTGTAATTTTCATTTCTATTATTTATACAAGCTCTAGTTGAATAATACAGGTTACCTCATAGCAGGTAGCACCGTGGTAGAGCAGATTCTTGACTGGAATTCATTCAACATGGCAAGGGAATACGCGATGCAGTGAGATCCAAACAACGAACAGTCTGAGGTTCACTTCAATCTGATTCTTGTCTGTGTTTTCCCACTGTTGTAGTTCATTGTTAGGAAAACCACATCGGAGGCCTATCAGCTGGTGCAGAACTCAAGTACATGATACTGATTTGAACAAAGTTTTGAAGTTTGAATTGGACCAGTTGAAACCTTTAACTCCAAATGGCTATAAGATTGAACCATTCAACGAGTTACCTTACTTTGGTTGATCTTTTCGCTATCTGTTAACATTCACTTCATAGTTTCATGTGCTACTTTTGACCTCATTATTCTCTAGCAATTCACCACGTCACACAGAGAGACCTGGCCGTGGTCCTCTCCACCAAGATTTCTCCATACTGTGCGGCATGCTAGCATTAGCAAGTCATGCACCCCCAATGGCCCTTCCAGTGAGATTTAGTGTACGGGTTGAATTTTCAGAAATCAGTTCAAACCATGGAACCAGTATGCCTCAGCACCCTTTTTCTTCCCAAAACCGGTAAGCAGGAGCTTTATTCATGAAATAGCACTACAGTCATCTCAGAGCGAACTCATGCTTCAAGGCACGTCAATGCTCATCCGGCACTGGGCCACAAACAACTGACAGATTAGCTTCCCTCTGAAACAAACCGAAACAAAAACCCAGCACATCCTCTCAGGTACAGGCAGCCCGCATGCTTGACAGTTAGCCTGCAAATATTTTAGCAAAATAACTAAATGCCCTGCTCCGAATACTCGAATAGAATAAAATATATTATCATATTGCCTAACATAAATTAACCATATCTTTTCTATATGGAATATTCACCTTAATTTGATTTTATGTGTGGCTATCTATTTAGATTTTGTTGTTTCTTAATATTGAGAAGTTCAAGGATAACTTACAAAACTTACAATAAGAGTAGATGGGGTGGGAATAGATTGTTCTTGAGGCACCCATGAATAGATATGCATGGACGTAGTCTCTTGAAAAGAATAATGCAGTGTGCATTGGCCAATCAGACTGCCCCCTTCTGTAGAATATGACAGATCAGATTGATGGTACAGTGGCGATGACCAATGACAAAAGCATCAAACAGATATCTCTGGTACTACCTGTAGTATCTATAGAGCAGGCTGGCATAGTGTTATTTGCTAAAATGTTTCAGTGGCACCATACTAATTATGTGTCATATATTCCTCACTTGTGAAAGCTGACAAAAGCTGACAATATGCTGACTGGACACGATATAACTAGGAACTGGTAAAACAGAAATTTTCCTTGGTATGACACCTACTGCCTAGTGTCTGGCCCAAGGTACCAGGTCAATTTTCCACTTGCAGATTTTTGTCTATAACTGCCACTGAATTGCTATTTACATTATGGTCCTGCTTCACCAAAATATAGCCTACAAAGCCACCTATTTTCACTGAGGAAAATTGAACTCCGAAGTAAAGCATCACGATCTGCAGTAAGACCTTCCCATTTTTCAGGTGCAATTTTGTGGGACATCATCCAATGTCTCGCTGTAATTTTGTGATGCAGCTCTGCAGCGTGACCATTGGAAGTCATTATGCTGGTATCATCTTGGTTTCAACACATGACTCATATGGATTTCAAGTTTCCAACCACTATGGAAATAGTAGTGGTAACCACATAGCGAAGTTGTGTTCAAGTTGCTCAACAAGTTCCTTAGGTGTTACAAGGCATATGGTTAGCCTTCCCATTCAGCTAATCAAAAAGTCGCCATCATTCTTCATTCCTGGTGTACACACCAGAGCTGATGGATTAAGACAGCATGAAGTTATGTAATATAGGAAAAAGCAGAAAATCATGGTTAGCACTCCTAAATAGAGATGTAAGAAAACTAACTGAAATCTTCTTTATGCTATGCTAATTCATACTTTGGTAGTTTGGGCACATATGAAGAACTTGTCAAACATGTAGAGATGGCTGCCGAATTAAGCTGTCTTTATAAGTTTTGCTGATTCTTGGGCCTGCATATCAATAGACAACCACAGTAATGAGAAAAACAACTCAAGACTAGCACAATAACAACATTTAGAATAGGAAACACCGAAACAGCAATGTAAATTGCAAATTGCATACAGGCTAGTCATCTTATTATCATAAAATTCTGAAATTATGTTTTCATGTAAAATCACATAGGATAAATCAGAATTTCTTTTATTACAATGGAAATCTCTCACTTAGACAGCCACACCACAATAGTAGTGGCATATTTACAATTAGACATTTTAATGGAGTTTTCAAGTACAATGATTAAAATGATTAAACTTTCTAATATGCATGAGCAAAGGGAACAAAGCTAAAAAATGTTATACAAAGACAGCTTCTGCATCAATTTTTTTGCACACAAACACATGTGGTACGTGTGAACAGGTTGCGTTATCATGTCAGTTACACAAATTGCAGTAAAATTCAGAAGCACATAGTACGTGAGTAAGAAGGGCTCTACAACAACCACCTTACTCCAGTGGTGTTAGTAGCGTGGTGTACAGTACAGGGCCACAGGGGTACATCTGAATCCTCAGAACTTTCGCTAGTATGCCAATTACATAACCATATTGTATAAATATACTCAAACAGGAGTCAAGAGAAGCCAATGGAAGAAAAAACAAAGGCCATATTGTCATCCCACTGTGGCAATCCAACCATTGAGGCATCTGGCTATCACAGCCAGCTAACCGCATCAAGCCATCGAAAAGATCCCTAATTTCCCATCTATCCGTCATTCTGAAGCATGGAAAGGTTCAAAGGCAATGCACCTAACACCATGACACATGTAGCCCTGTATCAAGTGCTACCCCCCCCCCCCCCCCCCCAAACCCACCCCTTTCCTCTCCAAAAATAAAATAGAGTAAAATTCCTGGCTCTGCCACTTACTCACAAGCAAGTTGAGATACGCTGAAGATGAGACCCAAATCAAGCCACACAAACCCAAGGAAAGTATAATACTAATAATAAGAAGGGCTCTACTGCTGCAACGAAAATTGTGTGGTGATCATTTTTGAACTTCGTAATTCAAAATTTCAAATGGTAACATTTCATAGGGTTGTAATTTAAATCACATTTTTTTCTAGTACGGCAGTCTAAATGAAATATATGTGAAAAAGTTAAGGTTAGATAGTTTACAATATAGGGAAAAAATGCACAACAGAACCAGCACTTCTGTGATACCATAACAGAAGGGGAACATGAATAATTCCTACTGGCATTGACACTGAGTTAGATAATCTAATAGATGCCAAAAGTACTGCAACAAACTTTTTATATCTCAGTTTTTCTTTTATCCTCTGACTTTCCAGTAAAAACAATTAGTACTTACTTTTCATATCCTTTACAAAGTCAGCTATAAGCTGCAGATATCCATTCCAGTTGATCTTCTTCATGAGATTCTGCCAATGGACCCAGCTCTTCATCAAACGATAACTTAGATGATGAGTGGTAACCTTCATCCTTCATGTGTTTAGCTAGCCTTCTCAGCTGTGCATTTATATTTTCTGCTTCAGGATGCTGCTGTTCGCCAACTACAAACACATGAACTCGGCTGTTAAGCTCAACCCAGCTACATCCAGGATCTTTGTTAACTCCTCGAAGTCTCATCAAATGCCTCACCCTTTCAACATCATTCCATTTTCTCTGGGAAGCATAGATGTTTGACAGCAATATATATGCTGAGGAATCTCCGGTACCTAACTCCATCAACCGTTCACCAGCATATGCTCCGACATCAAAATCTCGCAAAGAGCGACATGCTCCTAGTACTATACGCCACAAACATGTTCCGTGGTCAATAGTAATGGACTCTATGAAATCCTTTGCTTCCTTAAGCATCCCTGCTCGGCTAAGAATATCAACCATGCAAGCATAGTGATCCAGCCTAGGAGTTAAACCATAATCTTTTGTCATTAAACTAAAATATTCCCATCCTCTGTCAACTAGACCCATATGACTGCAAGCACACAATATATTAATGAATGTTATATTATCAGGTATAGTGCCCTCCATCTTCATTTCTTCAAAAAGATCCAGTGCACCATTGCCACACCCATTTTGTGAAAAACCAGAAATGATTGAGTTCCATGCAATAACATCCCTATCAGGAATCCTTCTGAAGACAGACATGCCATCTTCAAGGTTCCCACACTTTGAATACATCGTAGACAAGGCACTTCCAACAGGGGCCCCCAAACCTAACCCATATTTCACGATTTGCGTGTGCAATTGTTTCCCTGGTTCCAGTGCTGCAATGCCAGCACATGCTCTCAGACCACTAGCTATAGTCGATTTACTGGGGATGATACCTTCCTTGTCCATCCTGGCATACAATGTCAGGGCTTCCTCGTGCTCCCCATTCTGCACATGCCCAGAAACCATCGCTGTCCAAAGGACAATGTCAACCTCGTACAACTGATCAAACCCTTCTTTTGCGTCAGCAATACAACCACATTTTGCATACATGTCCACCAGTGCACTCTTCACATATATCTGAACCTCAAACCCAAGCTTCACCATCAAACCGTGGGCTTGCTTCCCTACTGCCAATGCTCCCAAATCACTACTTGCATTGAGAACCCCAACAAAAGTGAACTCTGTTGGTGTGAACCCAGCAGCATGCATCTGTGAGAACATACTAACTGCACTGTCTGCCTCACCATTTTGTGCATACCCAGTAATCATCGCCGACCAAGTGATCGAATTCCTCTCCCTCGATGACTCAAACACATGAAACGCAGCACCCATACACCCAGCCTTCGCATACATCGTGACAAGCGAGTTTTCCACAGATACAAAATCCAGCAACCCATCCTTCACAATCAGTCCATGCATCTGCTCCCCCATCAGCAAACCCAATGGCACACTAACTGCGCTGAGAACTGCTGTGGCAACAAACTCGCTTTTCTCAGAAGGGCACTCTTCGAGCATTAGTCGGAAGAGATCGAATGCCTCCTCGGAGCATTTCTCTGCAGCATAACCTGCCACCATGGTGGACCAGGAAAATGAGTTGCGCTGAGGCATTCCGTCGAACACTCTGCGAGCATCAGAAACAATGCCCAGCTTACAGTACATGTTGAGCAGGCTGGTGCACACGTACACATTGGATACGGCAGAGGGGATCTTGCAAGCGAGAGCGTGGGCCGCGGTGCCGGCGGGCGCGGAGGCCGCACGGGCGGCGGCGGTGAAGGCGGCAGCGAAGGAATGGGGCGACGGAAGGACGGTGGAGGAGGAGAGCATGGAGCGGAAGCGGGAGAGCGCGTCGAGCGGGCGGTGGCCGGAGAGCGGGTTGAGGAGGGAGTTCCAGGAGGTGACGTCGCGGGCGGCGGGAGGGATATCGTCGAACACCGCGAAGGCGGCGGCGAGGAGGGGCCGGGGGAGCGAGGAGTAGAAGTTGATGAGGGAGTTGGCGACGGGCGCGTGGGAGGCGGCGCCGGACTTGAGCGCCCAGGCGTGGAGGGCCTCGCCGTGGCGAGGGCAGGAGGCGCGCCGGCGGAGGAGCTCGATGAACTGCGTGTGCGACATTCGCCGCGCCGACGAGGGCGCCGCGGCTGCCATGCTGGACGCGGCGGAAGAAAATTACGCAGTTTTTTGTTTTTTATCGACTCGCAACAGACAATGCTACATATTGACAGAGCATTAAAAAAATTACAATATTACAACCTTGTAAGCTCGTAATCAGAAAAAAAAAATAATCTCCACCTACACACTGACAGCTCCAATACATAGACCCAGGAGAAAGCTAGTATCAGACCGACCGCCGCTAGACCAACAAAAGACTATAGTCGGGATCGTCCAAAACTAACACAGAACTGTACTCTATTTACAACTTTAGGATTAAGGGAAAGAGTGTAAAAAAGAAGATAAAACCGTTCTCCCTCTAGACCATTCGACATGGTCAACTTATAAGTTAGGGCGTCATATACTTGGCCAAACGGGCGGCACGGCCCGTTAAGGCACGGCTCCTGTAACAGGCCGTGCCGTGCTCGTGCCGGCCCACATGCTAAGGCCTCGGCCTAAGCACGGCTCAGGAAGACCACGGGCACGGCACGAGCCCAAATATAACACACGGGCCGGTGTAGGCCCATTAGCACGTTTGGCCCACAAAATTTGAATATGAGACCGAAAACTAAATAAAAAATGTGAAAAAAAAATATGAAAAAGGAAAATTAAAGGGAAAAAAGGAAAATATGTGAAAATATTAGAAAAATGACGAAAAGTAGTGGGAAATAGAAAATAATATATGGAAAAATTGGGAGAAAATGAGAAAAAATCGGAGAAAATAGACAAAATATATGAAAAAAATAGGGAAAATTTTGGTGGGCCAACGGGTCGTGCTCGTACTTGAGCTGTGCCGGCCCATGGGCTTAGACATCAGCCAAGCACGGCACGGCCCACGAGCGGGTGTGCCGTGTCGTGCCTGGGCTGGCTACAGTGGTGTCGTGCCTAGATCGGCTGCAGTGGTGCCGTGCTCGGGTCGGCACGCCTTGGCCCGGCCCATTTGGCCAGCACTATAGCACCGACACAAGAGGACCGGAATTTACAGCTAGCTTGCTCCAGTTGTCTAGGAAGTTTCGGCGAGGGGTTACCTAGACGACGTCTCCAGAGAGTGGATCAACAGAAGCATCGCCGCCGCCGTCCATCGCGGTCTCAAATGAGAACCGAGACTGGGTTTCACCTGGCAGACGTCATAGGGATGTTGGGACGACACGACAACTCCCTCAAGAGGGAATCCGACGCTCGAAAACGCCTCCGTTGCCAGCCCAGCCAAGATCGGGCTAAGTTTTCACCCATAGTAGTAAAGAAAATTTATCTATTTGAACTTTCAAATTTTAATATGAAATATTATGGGAAATGTAAATCGAAAGTGCAGTTTCGTCTTACGGCACGACGCCCGCTAAAATCGTCCGATGAAAGTATCACATACGCGGGTACGTAGTACTAAATTTATCTCCACGTTTTTGATCTTAGAGTCAAATGTGAGTTTTCGTAACTATGTAGTACTAGTATATTTAAAATTTTTGGTGACTTATATATTTCAAACCATATATTATTTTTTAAGGTCTGTTCTACTCAAAATATATGATAAAATGAGTAAACTATTGAAATATTTAAAAATAATTTAGTCAAATGGTAGAAATAACTAAGCTCTATAGTGGAAGTAACTTTTTATAACATTAGAAGTAATTACATATATGTGTTAAAAGAAATATCTTCATAGGTAAAGTGTAGATTCACAAGTTGTCGACGTTTGAGATCGTGACTACGGTATTTGCATAGTATGGGGATTGTTGATACCAAGGTATATGTGAGATTGAGGTAAAAGAGATGGAGACATGGATTTTATACAGGTTCAGGCCCCTTATTTGACAGGTAATAGCCCTACTCTTATTGGCCGAAACCGGTGTTGCTCCTTACTCATATGGATCACACAAGTACATAATTCGGGATAACCTATCTAGTTGTCGTCGACTTGGCGGCATGGATAACCAACTCGTAGTCAACGACAGGGTAATTTTCCTCCTCGAATATGAACTCATCGAGATCAGAGATGGTGCTAGATCCTTTTTGGCGGCCTCCGTAGGCACCAGATGAGGTATGTCTAGGCTAATCTCTGATGTTGAGATCTGGCGATGTGTGTTGGCTTGTGTATATATTGTGTCTTGTTGATCTTGTGGCTTGTCCCCTATCCTTCTAGGGGGTCTTGTATTTATACTCATAGATGTCCCTTTGTCCAAGTAGAATTAGGGAGACCAATATGGATACAATCCACGTAGTCCTTGTCATTTCTATATAGAACTCTATTTGTCTTTCCTTATCCGGAACTCCTTCTATATACGAGGTATGATTCCGTATAAGACATGGTATGTGATGGGCCATGCCGAGTTTAGTCAACTATTATTAGGTATGTAGCATCCATAACCATGACACAAGTAAATACATGACTTTTTTATCCAAGGTAAACCATATGTGTATACATATATATAGATTATTGTTTTCGATAAAAGTAATTTATTTTATATAGGAAGTAACTCTTTAGAAAATAGAAGTAACTATTCATAGTATTAAAAGTAATTCTTCATAATATTAAAAGTTGGTACACTCCTAGAGGAAATTAACTGGAAAACAGAACTAACCTTTTATGGTGTTAGAAATAACTAAACTGCTAGATAGAAGCAACTCTTCGTGGTATTAAAAGTAACTATATAACAATGTTATAGGGAAGTAAGTCTTCATAACAGCACTGCTACAAAAGTAAATAACCTAAATATATTCAATATTGAACACTTTTTCATATATTTTCAGTAGAGTATGATGGTTTGATTGGATATTGAAAACAATAAACGATTTAAAACAGGGGCGACGGAGCCAACTGAACCGCCGCATCGACGGCGACAGCAGTGGCAGGGTCACGTGTGAGGAAGGAGATTGCGGTGGCAGGGTGAGGCACGCTGCGGTGGGATGATGGCAAGGATGGCCTGCGCCACAACGTGTCAACGTGTTGAGAAAGGAGACGGCAATGAGGCAGCCGCCACCAGCAGTGCCACAAACTCACCGGAGTCGCTGACTCGGGGCTATGGAGGGGTGTGGATGAAAACGGAGGGAGGAAGATGTTTCACGGAATATGGGACCCACTATTATTATTATTACTCCCTTCATTCCAAAATATGGTGCACAACCACCCTTAATCCAAAAACTCAGAAATAATTAATATCACATCATTGTTATGAATCATTCCAACTAATACAATGCATGCAACCAATAGAATTAAAGATATTGTGAGTGTAGGATTTAAAATAATAATAATTTAGGGGAGAGAATGTGATAATTAATTACATGCATGCATGCACACCTCATATTATGAAACAACTTTATAAAGTAATTGTGCCTTATATTTTGAAACGGGGGGAGTATTATTTCTATCTAGAATGCCACCTAAGCGCCACGTAGAATAAAACCATCTAGAAAAACTCCTTAGGAATCAATTTGCATTGGTTTTGTAAGATGGAGGAGGCATTATACCCGGTTTACGGTTGAGGGATGCAATTCAATCGAGAGCAAGAGATTAAGGAGGCAAAATAGATTTATTCTGAATAGGAGAGCTGATAACCATCCTACCCTCATTGATTTTCTTCGTTTTTTGAATTTTTTTTTTTGCATTCTCGAGGAGATTTGCACGTGTTTGGCTGTTTCGCAAAAAGCTCCGCACGTTTGCACGTAATATCTCATATGTCACGCTTGACGCCCCGTTGTAATTTATCTGGAAACTCCTTGTCTTTTAGAGAAATACAATGCGAAGAAGATAAAATTCCGCTTATAGGGATAGCACTGTAAACATGAAAAACAAAGGGGCTTTTCCGAAAAAAAACCACCATCTCCAATCTCCCCCCGTGCACTGCCGCCTCCCCCGCGCGTCATCACCGTCTCCTCGCACTTGTGCACACTCACACGGGCGCCGCGCGCGTGGCACCCGTCAGAGTCGTCATCGGTGCCCTCTCCCTTCTTTTTCTCCCTCCCCTTGTGGTAGTGGTGGCGCCACGGCGGGGGTAGTGCGGATGTGGCGCCCGTTAGAGCTGAAGCCGTGTCCTCCTTGTGGCAACGACGGCGGCGAGGGGACCTGCGGTAGTGGGGAAGCGCGGACTCCTACTAACAGTTTGTAGTAGGTGGGTCAGCGCCTCTGTTGGTCTTAGAGTGATAATCCAATTACCGGCCATATAACTTCCTAAGCATCTTGCCAAACACTGGAGAAGTATTTCTTCAAGTATTTCCCATTAATTGCTCTCTAAAATCATTCTCCTTGCAATGTACATGTGGACTTGGAAATAAGCTTTACAGTCTGCCCATTTTTATTATACCAAAAGCGGTAGCTCCCCTATTCATAATAGGCTGACATTAATGTGGTCAGACGGTCAGACCTATCAACTATCATGCCAAACTTCAAAATTCTTGTACACCGTTGTAGGCTAAGCAACTCAGGCTGTGTTTAATTCCACGCTAAAATTGGAAGTTTGACTAAAACTGGAAGTTTGAAGAAAAAACTTCTATGTGTGTAGGAAAGTTTTGATGTGATGAAAAAGTTAAAAATTTAAAGAAAAATTTGAGAACTAAACTCGGCCTCAGCATCACTAGTAAGCTTTACAGTCTACCCATTTTTATTATACCAAAAGCTAGCTTCCTGGTAGCTCCCCCATTCATAACTAGGTGATACCCCACGCTTTGCTGCGGGATTCACGGATGAGTATATGTTAAATATTGTCGAAATGATGAAAGTTGAAATATTGAGAAAATAATGTGAGGAAGATGATTTGACACATACTGGTTGATCTCTATAATATAATATTGTAGATGATATGCCATGTTTGCATGGGATTTAAAATAGGTTAGAAAAGCAATTGCTAGTGAGTGAAGATGTGGCATGCTTGTATAGGATTTTAAATGGGCTAGAATAGCAATTGCTAGTGGGTGATGATGTGGCATGCTTGTATGTTGAGCTTTAGCTTTAGTGGGTACCAACTATGTAGAAAGTATAGACAGATAGGCTGACATGTCGCACTCCATCTCAATGACAGAGTATTCTTCTGAGTCAACATCTAACCCAACTATAGAA